CTTTCCTTCCACCCCCCCACCACCCCAACCACCTCCTCTCCTGCTATGACAAAGATAGACAGTTTCCACGCTTTCTCCATCACAGGGTCTGAATGAGTCTATCTGCTGTCATTCATGGTGATCGTTTTCACTGGAGTCGCTTAAAAAAGCAGCGTGCCACTTGCAGTCTAGACCCTAACCATGACCACCCCCCCCCTTCTCTGTCCAGCAGCAAGTAAAATTTCTTGTCTGGCTGGTTAGATACTGACAAGCTCAAACTATATATTTGGAAAAGCCTCACACGGCTTTTCTTTGCTGGCTGTTTAAAAGTCATACTGCGTTTTTTTTTTTAAACTAAGCAGGCTCCCAGTAAATGCAATGTAGACTGCCTATTTTTCMAGTAACTGTTTTTTAATGAATTCACATCTGTCAAAGAAGAAATTTGGTATGTTTTATATTATAATAGTGTGCATTTTTAGGGTGTAAAACTGAAAACACGCCATTAAATCTTATTTCCTAAAATGGAAATTTGGCTATTTCCTAAAACAAGGGATTTAATTAATGTAGTGTAACTTGTTAGCCCTTCTATAATGAAGAAAAGAAACGTTGCACCACAGCACAAGCTCCTGTCGTTTTTGTTCACAGACCGACTGTTTGCTGTAGCTGCTAAATATCTGTGGTTAGAGAGTTTTAAAAGAATTCCAAGTATTTCCTCTCAACTCCTGAATGTTCCTATGGAAGAAGAGCCTTACCAAGTGTTTAAGACAAAGAGAGTCTGTTCAGGCACACTTAACAAGTAAATTAGTTTGTTTGAGAATAACATGAAACTTTATAAAGTTTGTAGTGAAGTAGTTTATGTTGTGCAGACAAATAAAAAAAGTCATGTTTTATGGCTGAGAGCACTGATATTAGAGATCTGAGCTGCATTATTCATTCACTGGTCAACTTCGTCTGTTCCTCTGAATCAGAAGAAAAGGAGTCGATCCAGGTGTCGAAAACACAAATAAAGAAAGGAAAAGCTCACGTTTTGTGTGCAGGACCCAAAGGTGGTTGTCATTTTCATGGTACTTGTGGTAACCGTCATTCCCCACCCCCACAGAAGTATTTTTCACCCTAGGTAAGAGGTAGGGCTTTCATTAACACGCTRTGTCACGCACACACAGTGACGCCACATTTTCACCCACAAATAATTCCATCTGGTTTCTCCCCCCAACAACAGACCCCCTGACGACTTGTGCTTATCCTCCACAGGCTCCCAGTTTAACCGGCAGCAGCAGCAGCACAGCCATGCTACCTCCTGCCGGCACTTCCAGTTAGGTCCTCAGGCCCCGCTGCCCATGGACTTCCCAATGCCCCACCCAGGGCAGCCCCAGTCAGGCATTAACCCCCACCTGGTCCCCCCGGGCCACCAGCATGGCCCGCCACTCCACGCGCCCCTCAACCCCCTGGCCGCTTCCCAGTTCCAGGACCTCCCCGCCCCTCCCTTCCTACCTCAGGCATTACACCAGCAATACCTCCTCCAGCAGCAGATCCTCGAGGCCCAGCACCGACACATCCTGCCGCCCTCCAGGTACCCCCCCTCGCCCACACGCACCAATCAGACCCCGCAGAGTTCGCTCCCCAAACCTTCTCTTCTTATTCCAGGATGTTTTCAAAATGCTTGGTTGTTTGTGTTAGTAGACGCACCCCAGAGAGAGTTCCTCACCAGCCCCACAGACTGAGACCCGGCTATGAGTTTGGGCCCCCGCTTCACGTGGCCCCTCAGCCTGTGGTGCAGCAGCCTCGCTACCTGGCTGAAGGCACAGACTGGTGAGCGGCGCCTCGTATGTTCTTAAAATTTGAATAAAAAAATATACAGATGAGACAAATTTCGGTGCGTCATGTAAAATCCGGCTGATTTATTGGTTTTTTTTTTTTTTGTGCAGGGATCTGAGTGTAGATGCTGGACTCCCCCCTCACCAGTACCACATCCACCCGCTGCCGCAGCACTATCAGCATTACTTGACCTCCCCGAGGATGCACCACTTCCCCAGAAACAATGCCTCAACACAAGTGGTGAGCCTCATCGTACCGTCAGTCTCAGTAAATTCTCGTACACCCCCCCTTTTTTTGCTGGGCTCATTCTATAAACCCTCAAAGCAGAGGTGTCAAGTAACTCAGTGCAAAAACTTTGTTACTTCGCTTAAGTAGAAATTTTGGTTATTTAWACTTTAGTGGAGCAATTATTTTTCAGACTACTTTTTACTTCTACTCCTTACCTTTTAATTCAATTATCTGTACTTTCTACTCCTTTATAGAAATGCAAAAATTATTTCATTTCTATGTAACTTTGACTTGTTTTTATTCCATCTTTTCATTGTTCAGAAAAAAATAAGTAAATAGAACTCTATCCAGATACATGGAGCACATGGATAGAGTGAGTTTGATTGTGGTTGGATGAGRAGTGTAAATGTAAACCATTCTGACATCCTGTTGGATTGAACTCACTCCATCAGGGACAGTCACCTGTATGACACAAATCACATCACATTCCAGCAGGACTTACTGCAGCAGATGTAGCCTAGAATGAAGATGATGGTGGCTGAAACAACTAGTCTAATCTGTTGATTCCAAATTTTTCAACATTACCATTTTAATACTCATTATTGACTTTAGAAATAAAATTGTGTTTGTGTATGTGTGTATGTGTGGGTGGGGGTGTATGCTATAGAACCCTTTTTAAAGTGTTCATTACTTTTACTTTTATACTCTGTCGTTTTAAAACCAGTGCTTTTATACGTTTACTTGAGTAAAAATCTTGAGTTGATACGTCTACTTCCAAAAAAAAGGTATTTTTAAACCCTAGTATCTATATTTCTACTTAAGATGAATGTGAATACTTTTGACACCTCTGCCTCAAGCAGGGGCAGCCTGTGTTCTTATCGTTCTGTCTGATTTCTGCAGCCTTTTTTCTCCGTCCTTTCCCAGGTCGTCCATGAGATCAGAAACTACCCGTATCCCCAGCTGCACTTGCTGGCTCTGCAGAGCCTCAACCCTTCCCGCCACGCCTCTGCTGTCAGAGAGAGCTACGAGGTCTGTGCAGCTTCTTCCTCGCTCTCCYCTGCAGACACACCAGTCCTCTTTAATCTATCGTTGTTTTATCTGTGACCAATGGTCTGGACAGGCTCAAAGTGTGGAACTGATTCTCTTATTTCCAGTTCCTCTGGGTTCCAGATGCTTTTCGTTTCCTGTCATTTGTCAAAGACGCTTGATTGTGTGTTGTTTTGCTTTGAGGRAAAAAAAAATCACAAAAGGAGGCATTTTATTTCAAATGATTATATTTTTCTTTAAAGGAGCTCCTGCAGCTGGAGGACAGACTGGGCAGCGTGAACCGAGGAGCGGTCCAAGCCATCATCGAGAGATTCACTTTCCCCCACAAGTACAAAAAGGTAGGACCGGGTAGAAAATCTTTCTGACGAAGCACCGGGGCGAGAAATAAGTTAAAGTGAAATGTGAAGGAAGGAGATAAAGMAAGGCAGCGCTGCCGGGCCAGAGGGATGAAAGAGTGAAGACGAGGRTGGAAAGGTCACGACTCCTGCAGCAGTTCAAAGGTCAATGTGATTTCTGTTGCAAACTAATGAGACGAAGCTGCAGCCTCTCACAGTTCGCGGTGAGGGATGACTCATCCTGCTGTCTGCAGATATGAACGTGGAGGGAATTTAAAGAAACGTCTGCACTGAGTTTGACCTAAATACTGTGGGAAGAGTATCAGAACATTTGCTGCATTTTTTTTTCTCTAGGAGGAATGATTAGGTGAGGTTTWTCTTTAAATCCAGCCTCAGCTGACTCAGAAACCCCGGTGGCATCAGCACTGCATCCTTGAAAAATGAAAGTCTGTTTGCTGTTWTCTGCAGAGAATACCGCAAGACCTGAAGATGTGTCTGGATGATGAGGAGCTGGACACAGATGAAAAGTGCACCATTTGTCTGTCGATGCTGGAAGATGGAGAAGATGTCAGGTGCTGCTTTTTTCTTTTTTCTTTTTTTGGCTATCCAAACAACAGTTTTATTCCTGGGAGTTCATTATTCAAACTCACAAGCTTAACCTCTTCAGCCTCAAGGGGTTTTCCTGAGGTTTGTGCTCAAAATATAATTRAGTGTGTCTCAGCGTTTACAAACGCTACTTAAATAATCTTATCATCAAAARCTAAAACTTAGGAGATTTCATCAKAAGTGTAAATTAGGAACAAAATTTGATGCACAGTTAGACATAAATGCTCCGTTTGAAGTACAAACGGGCATTTTTATCCSCAGTCAAAGTTTCCCTGTGCGAATTAAATGAGTTGTGGAGCGAAATCTGATCCCAAGAGGTCACTTGAGATGCATTCTGGTGTCAAATTTGAGCCTCATCCTGACAGCTGAATCGATCCTATAAAAGGTTTAAATACCAGGTACAACAGGACCAAAAATCAGCTGCTTCTCTAAGATTAAATGTCTGTTGACTTGGTGGAATTAAGTCAAAGTAAAACACTTCATTCAGCTGTTTTGAAACGGTTTTAGCTTCGCAAACTTATAAGATGTTTGATTTTATTTGTATTATTAGTGTTTTTATTTTCCAACTTTTATAAAGACACAGACAAGCAGCTAAAACTAGAGTTAGTTTTGATGAGATTATTCAGAAAATGAAATAATTTTCACATTATTGTTGTTGATCCTTAGCTTATTTTAGCTCGGTTCAGTACATTAGGTGGTGTGGCAGGGCCTGAGAAATGTGTGTATATGTGAGTAGAATCAATCAGAGAAACAAACTGGATGAGCTAAACAAGCTGTTTGGGTGGCTTAACAAATTGGCTGCGGATCCTAAAAACTTAACAGGTGGTGGAAATGTTTTTGGACGGGAAGGACATCAGCTGCATTCTGTCAGAGCAAATACAACATGAGCTCAGGATTTGCTGCATAAAATGTAATATATAAATCCCCAAACAGAAAAAAAAACACCAACCAAAGATTTTTTTTGCTCAAATAATTATAAAAAAATATTTTTGGGTTTTTAAAGGGAGTTATTTTTTAGACTTTAAATTAATTTTGTTGTGTACTTGGAGTCTAGGAGTGCAYAAAAGTTTAATTTAGTCTGGACTTTTCAACATTTTCATTGTCTTCATCCTCCTCTTGAACTGGGTCACACTCTGGCTCCAACATGTAAGGCTGGATGGACAAGTCTTTATGTATTTATGATTAACGTCATGTTGAACAATAAATTCTGTCTAAGGAACACCAGTTAGTGCACATCGCTTATAGGTTTTGTTTGTTTGCTATCCTCTCCAATGCTAACGACAGCTTATCCACGCTAGTCGCTAGACTCACCAACGCTAACGACAGCTTATCCGTGTTAGTCGCTATCCTCTCCAATGCTAACAACGGCTTATCAATGCTAGTTGCTGGACTCGCCAATGCCAATGCCAACTTATCCAAGCTAGTTGCTAGCCTCTTCACTGTTAATGCCAACTTATCCATGCTAGTTGCTAGCCTCTCCAATGCTTACGCCAGCTTATTTATGCTAGTTGCTAGAATCTCCCATGCTAACGACAGCTTATCCATGCTAGTTGCTAGCCTCTTCAATGTTAATGCCAGCTTATCCATGCTAGTCGCTAGCCTCTCCAATGCTTACGCCAGCTTATCCATGCTAGTTGCTAAACTCTTCATTGCTAATGCCAGCTTATCCATGCTAGTTGCTAGCCTTTTCAATGCTAACAACAGCTTATCCATGCTAGTCGCTAGCCTCTCCAATGCTTACGCCAGCTTATCCATGCTAGTTGCTAGCCTTTTCAGTGCTAACGACAGCTTATTCATGCTAGTCGCTAGCCTCTCTGATGTTAATGCAAATGATTAGTCTTCTTCTCATTTGCTAGTGCCAGCCATGGGATAAATCTTGTGCCAGCAGGAATTGAATTCAAATTGCTCAGATTGAATCTGAATGTGCATAATTTGAAATTGAAAGCATTGGTTTGAAAATGAATTTTACTAAATTGAAACTGAATTTAATGTTTTAAAACTGAATTTAAAGTTTTGTATCGGAATTAATTTGCTTTGAAACTGTATTTTGGTCTATTAAAAATTCAGTTTGACTACTTTCACTTTCAGTTCCATAATTCAGATCTTTGTGTCTCACATCCTGGTCCTTGAGAAAGCCAGCCAGAGAAATCAAACACAGATCTACAGATTTACGTTTCACTTTGGTGAAGTTTCCCTTCTGTAATGTAAGAGTTGATGCAATCCACTGTATAAGTGACAAATACAGACAGTTATTTTATTGCAGTGATTAATTTTACCTAAAATATTACATTTACATCCCGTCATGGATCAGTCAGCAGCAGCATCTGATCAATATGTGATCCATGATGTGATGTAAATGTAACATTTTCTACATATATCCTTCAACTCAAGGCTCTCTTTCTCTGTCTCTCCCTCCCTCCCTCCCTCTTCAGGAGATTACCCTGCATGCACCTCTTTCACCAGGCGTGTGTGGATCAGTGGCTGGCCACCAGCAGGAAGTGTCCCATCTGCAGAGTGGACATTGAGACCCAGCTGACCCCGGAGAGCTGATAGTTCCCGTGGACTCCTGCGGCTTCAGATCCGCTCTCGTTAATTCTCCATCGCCTCCTTCCGGGAGGCAGGGGGGTGGGGGGGAGCTCTGCCAAAACACGCCCCTCTTCCTCCCGCATCACTCGAAGAGCCTGCCTTCTGAGACAGCTGCGACAGAGGGATCAACAAAGCACACTGGCGTACAACACAAAGGATGATGAGAGGGTGTGGGGGGATTGATGCACAGATACAGGAAGGTCAGCTGAGTGGACTTGACTGGATGTGAACGGTAGGAGATGTATGGACAGATGTGCTGAGGCTTCACACGGTCCCCTCGGATCGTGTACACCTGCGTACATTTCTCCATACAGCCAGAAAGCGAGAGAGGGCGGACGCTCTGACTACCACCCTCTCTTGCTCACTTTGGGTGTATTAGGGCTGTTTTTATTTCTGCCAAACCCTCTGCCTCCCCCCACCCCAACCCGATCCCCCTTAAGGCCTGTGAAAAATCCTTTAAGCTGCACTCTGCCCAAGCCCTCACTCAGCACATCTGTACAGAACATTATCAAACGATTAGCATGAGGTTGTGTGGTGTGAACTCTTGTAGCTGAACGCTTGTGGTGTCATGGTACTGAATAAGTATTTACAGAGTAACAGTGTTGTGTAGCAAAGCAAAAGCCTTTTGAGAAATATGTTTGCTAAAAAAAATTTAACCTAAGAGGGGGTGAACACAGCTCTAGAGTATTGTTAAACCATAAGCATMAAGACTAAAAAGTAATAAAAAACAACAACAAAAAAAAGGCCAAAACTTTCTCTTWCATGYCTAACATGGTTTTACAGTTCGTAGATGACATCAGAGTTGATGCTAAACCCGCTAAACTGCAGGCATGGCTTCCAGTGATGTGTGTAGTGTCGTAGTTTGGGGGGCTCCTGCGACGTAGAGCGGGGGCCCCCCACCCCCCCAGATGTGCATGCTGTACGGCAGGCTTGGGCTGTGTCGTTGATGTTGTGGAGCAGTTTAGAAGCAGGGGCCGTGTCTGTGCATGTGATCTGTGATTATTATGACCCCGCTCATTCGTAGAGGAGGAYGAGAATGCGCCTAAAAAAGCCCACGCACCCTTCCTCTACCACCCCCACCCTCCCGAGTAGATTAAAGCTGCCCTCAGACGCCGATCCGACACCAGCGTGTGAGTTTGTGTCTAACGGCATCTTGTTTGTGTGGCCTCGATCGTGGCATGATCACGAGAGGCCGGCATGGGTTTGAGGGTCTCGCCATGCATTCGAGTGACWTTTTTTTTATTATAACCAGAACCTTATTGCCTATCAAACAAGCACACGTCATTTTTTTTTAAATCGAATCGCCTCTGTTGTGTATCGGCTCCTTTTTCATTTAATCTTAAGTTTGCTCCTGCTGTTTGATTTTAAAAATAATAATAATAATAATAATAGACTGTGTCTGGTGTTACAGGGAAAATACAAACTAGTTTGCCTGTGAAACGTGCTAGAATGTATACGATTGCCCCCCCACGCCCCCCTCTCTTTTGTTTCCCCTCATGGTGCTTGTGTATGGTACTACTAGAACTGTGATAYGTTCAGTGATAGAAGCTGTTTTTTCTATTATCATGCATGAACCATGTTGGCGTATTTCACTTGAAGGAGGGTGAAAGGGAGAAAAAGCCATCCATTTGAAAAATACCAAACAACTGTTCTTAGCWTTTTTATTTCGATCGTCTCTTTTCTGCCATTTCGTTTCTTTTTTCTTTTTTCTTTTTAGTATTACCTGTGTGTTTATTCTTTTTGCTCACCTGCCAATYCGGACGCGGTACCAATACGCCTTGTCCGTTTTAACCATAGTGAAGAAGATGCTGCAATGCTGCAAAAACATATTTATTGTTGTTCTGATGTAGCTTGTGTTTTGTAAATGCACTATAATATGGAGTTGCCTGATATTTTGGTTTGGTGGTGTGGATACTTCTTGTCCTAGATTTTGTGTTTTTTATTCAGTTCAAAGTATTTTCATGCTTCCCTGTGTATGTTTTTGGAGGGTAACTTGACTGTTTGTGTTGCAAATTTATTTTATTATTATCATTATTTTTTTTGTATTAAACCTCCGTCCAAAAAAGAAACTACATAAAGATGGAAATGGAGGTTTGCTAGTTCACATAGAATGCTGTGATTAAAGATGCCTTAAGTATTTAACAATCATTATTTATTACTAACTGTAGCTAGCTAGCTATTGTGGTGGAATATTTAATGTCTATCTCATAACTTTGCAATTTAATCAATATATTTATTTAAAATAACACAAAATACTAAAAAAATACCTCATTATGCATTTGGTTGGTGGGGATGCTTGTGCATGCCGTCTGTGTTTTCTTTTACAAAGGAGAAAAATCTGTTGAAACTGACTGCGGGGTGTTTCCCAACATGTTTCCTAGCCAGCATGGTGCTGTTGATCTAGATTACATTCCATTCATCCCGTCTCTTAATTTGAGTTTTGAATGTTTTATTTCTTAAAGCGATAGTTTGGGTGTTTTTGAAGTGGGGTTCTGTGGAAAGGTTATGCTCAGTAAATATCCTACCTGCTGTAGATGGCTTTTTGAACACCTCAGTTTGAAGGATTTGGTAAATACTGAGTGGAATGATGAGCTGATGACTAGTCTCTGTGGGGTCTTGACCAAAGTGGATTATTGCCATCGTGGGCACCTGATTTTGAATAAAATTAGAGTAAAACGAAGGATTAGGTTTAGTCCTTGGAGTTGTGTTTAGTTGGTATAATGGGAATTGCAATGCTCTTTCATGGAGTAAGCAGGGCTCAAATCCTATAAATTTACATTTTTGGGCCATATTTAATCCAACTTTAGCCTAGAACTTTGTTCAACACAAAATGCATCTTCTTGAAGGAGCTCCTAATAGATTTCAAAATAAAATCTGCATTAAAGGATTTAAATACCCCCTTTTAAAACCTGTCTTGTCTAAATARTGTGATCTGTTTCATAGACAGAAAATGAGGCAGCACACAAGAAAATTATATTAGAATCAATAAAAACTACATGGTTTTGTTTTGCCCAAATTCACACCAAAACTATAAAAAATGGCAATTTAACAGTAAATTATGACTACCATCAATTCCAGYGTCAGAAATTTTATTGCAGCTATATAAGGAAGCCTGCATCACTTCCTGCTGGAATGTCTTAACTTTTCTGTTAGAAAAACAGTGAAATGTGCAGCTGATAATCATGTAAACGTTTCCTAAAGTAGCCTTTGCAAGCAATCCCTTTTGGTCTTGGTTCCAGTCAAACTATGTCAGCTTGTTAATCTAGTCAGAATTACGCTTTGTTCCTCCAGGTTGTGGCTATTCAAATAGAAACCTGTTACAGGTAAGATACTAACTGTTCATAACCTTTCCAAACTTAAAAAAAAAAAAATCTGACCTCTTCCTTTAAATGTCACTCCTGCTTTTATCTGAAGCAGATGTCAGGGTACATTTCTGTTTGTCTTAGTTTGCTTTTCCCGTACAGTGTTGCTTTGCTTGTCACAATAACTCATGTTTTATATAATTCATTCTTGGTTTTTTTTATTATGTTCTCAATATTCATTATATCCAGATGTCATCTTAGTGCTTACTGCTTTAGGAACCACATGGAAATTTGTAGTATTCGTTCCTACATGTTGCTGGCTGTGTGGGATTTATGGGACTTATCTAACATGCTGACTTGAGCCATTGATCTTTCGAGCAAACTTCTGGTGTTACTGTGGTTTTACAATATAGATGTTTCACACCTTGATATGATAAGCTAACTACGTTTTTTGGTGTGCATTTCCTAATAATACGCTACTAATTCTGCAAATGACTCTAACTTGTACTGAATTGGAACGAGGCTGACTGGTCTTACTATTATTTCATTTCGTTCTCTCACTGGCCTTACCCCACGCTCCCCCCTGTTTTTCCACAGTGTAACTCCAGACTGAACTGGACCGTAGCCATAGTATTAACTCAAGCTGATGAACCGGAATGAACAGTAGAAACTCAAAGCACAAGCTTTTTAATGCATGTCCTTCTCAGGTTTTCCTATGTGTATGTGGGAGTAGCTCTGTAGATGTGTTTAATATGATGCTGTACCTTCTTGAATATTACAGATGTTTCTTTGCTGCTGATAAAAAAAAAATGTTGATTTTTAACCTGCCAGTGAAAAAGGGAAGTGGCCATCTTTGTACAACACACTGCTGTTTTGCTGTAACCGCGCAATGTTTTATGATCTTGACTATTTTATAGAAATGTAGAAGTATGTATCAATAATATGAAAGCAATAGCTAAATCATAATGAAGAATAACATGATCAGTGAATATTGTGGAAAAATCTTTAGATTCACTCTGGGTGGATTTTGTACTGTATTTATTACTAATGATGATGCAAAAAGTTGCATAGCTTAACCCAAACTGTTCTGTCTCTTTTTTATTTATTGTCTTGTATATGATCTTTTTGTATGTGTTTTTCAAATAAACTGCCTAAAATGCTGAGAACTAATCTAAAATGTGGTGTTTTTTTTTTAGTGTTTTCTTCTTTAAAACAATCTGCTAAAGCAGCAGTCAATACGCTACAAGACTGCAAAATTTTTCAACAACCTCTCATTTCTTTACATTCAGGGTTTCTGGTGAGTTTTAAAGCATTATTGTTCAAATTAAACCAACTTTATATTTTGATAATTTATTGTACTATTTTTAATCAAATTTTTTCTTTCAGTTCAATAAGGAACGTTTTATCTGTAAATCATAAGTCGATGTATAAATCAATACAGCATTCACTGAATGAAATCTGCATGTTGCTTAATGTGCGTACCAAAGTTTTACATAAGGATCTTTTGTAACATTAGCTCTCGGTGTATGTGTTGGGGTTGATTTTCAGCTACTACCACATCTTATTTTAGCTCATTATTTATGAAGCTAACAGAATTGTGGCCATTTTTGTGTTTACTAAAGTCACTCTAGTGGTGGTAGCCATCTTGGATCGTGTTGTAGAGTCATATCAAGTTAWTAAGTTTTCATCAAACTTCATCCAGTCAATCATGAGGTATTTTGCTAACAGATATGAGGTTGACTCCAACAATTAATGGAGTTGTACATCCACTGATTACCTTTGGAGTGTTGTAATAAAATCTGCCCAGATTTTTTGTAAAATATTTGCTAAAATTACAAAAAATGAATTACATTGTTGCCCACCTTTTGCCTTTATCAGGGGTGCCCAAACTTTTTCCCCAAAAGGGGCCAAAATGAAAATCTATCCAACGGCTGAGGGTCAAATGCAATATGAAATACAAATACTTCTTAAATAAAGCCCTTTTATTTTTAAAGATTAAGCTAGCAGCCAACCAGTGTTTCACATTTTTGGATAACTGCACTACAGGCCCTTATACACTCACCGGCCACTTTATTAGGTACACCTGTCCAACTGCTCTAACACTTAATTTCTAATCAGCCAATCGCATGGCGGCAACTCAGTGCATTTAGGCATGTAGACATGGTCAAGACAATCTCCTGCAGTTCAAACCGAGCATCAGTATGGGGAAGAAAGGTGATTTGAGTGCCTTTGAAYGTGGCATGGTTGTTGGTGCCAGAAGGGCTGGTCTGAGTATTTCAGAAACTGCTGATCTACTGGGATTTTCACGCACAACCATCTCTAGGGTTTACAGAGAATGGTCCGAAAAAGAAAAAACATCCAGTGAGCGGCAGTCCTGTGGGCGGAAATGCCTTGTTGATGCCAGAGGTCAGAGGAGAATGGGCAGACTGGTTCGAGCTGATAGAAAGGCAACAGTGACTCAAATAACCACCCGTTACAACCAAGGTAGGCAGAAGAGCATCTCTGAACGCACATGTCGAACTTTGAGGCAGATGGGCTTCAGCAGCAGAAGACCACACCGGGTGCCACTCCTTTCAGCTAAGAACAGGAAACTGAGGCTACAATTTGCACAAGCTCATCGAAATTGGACAAGAGAAGATTGGAAAAACGTTGCCTGGTCTGATGAGTCTCGATTTCTGCTGCGACATTCGGATGGTAGGGTCAGAATTTGGCGTCAACAACATGAAAGCATGGATCCATCCTGCCTTGTATCAACGGTTCAGGCTGSTGGTGGTGGTGTCATGGTGTGGGGAATCTTTTCTTGGCACTCTTTGGGCCCCTTGGTACCAATTGAGCATCGTTGCAACGCCACAGCCTACCTGAGTATTGTTGCTGAACATGTCCATCCCTTTATGACCACAATGTACCCAACATCTGATTGCTACTTTCAACAGGATAATGCGCCATGTCATAAAGCTGGAATCATCTCAGACTGGTTTCTTGAACATGACAATGAGTTCACTGTACTCAAATGGCCTCCACAGTCACCAGATCTCAATCCAATAGAGCATCTTTGGGATGTGGTGGAACGGGAGATTCACATCATGGATGTGCAGCCGACAAATCTGCGGCAACTGTGTGATGCCATCATGTCAATATGGACCAAAATCTCTGAGGAATGCTTCCAGCACCTTGTTGAATCTATGCCACGAAGAATTGAGGCAGTTCTGAAGGCAAAAGGGGGTCCAACCCGTTACTAGCGTGGTGTACCTAATAAAGTGGCTGGTGAGTGTATAGTCATTGGGCCAATGAGTTAAATAAATTTAGGTGGACTACATAGGATGGCAGGTTATAACCCAGTAACCATTGCACAAATCAAATGGCTTGGTGGGCCAGTTTTGGCCCACAGGCCCCACTTTGGGTACTGGCCTATATTCTGCATAATGACATTCTGGTTTAACAACATAAAAAGAAGTTAAAAATATAAAACATAAGACTTTAAGCTATGATCAAATGGCATTGCATCTTTGTACTGTCAAAATATTACGTATGGTGATGCTTTGTACCAAATATTTTCCTCAATAAATATGTAAAAGCAGCACAGTTAGTTGTTTATACTAAAATGAACTTAAACAAGAAAATCTACATTAATGAAAGTTTTTTGTGATGGTATTTATTGGTAGAGGAGCATGGTTTTATAAAAYGGGTAATATGGCCTTTTCTCATGTTTGAACCCTTGGCACAAATCATGACAAAATACTGGATTTATCCTTTAAAAGAGTTACATTGAGCTGTGGTAAATCCAGCTTATTTCATATAAAAACAGAGAAATACAATGGTCATCTTTGCTTCATTTATCCTCCTAATATCTGGGATAAAGTACTCTGTGGATCTGCCCATCAGCCCTCCGATGATCCAGCCACTTCCCACAATGGAAGATGGTYGTGACCGAGTTGGCCGTGTTGGTCAGCTCCACGCACTCCAGGAACCACCCGTTGTTGACGCTGCTGCCATCGTGCTCCACTTTGACCCTCAGCAGCTCCCCGAGGTCCAGCATCTCCAGGACGAAGCGGTCCGTCTGGCCCCGCTCGAACAGGTTGCGGAACTTCTGCCTCAGCTGACGCCTGCCCGAGTCGCCGTTGACGCCGTAGATGGTGATGAACACGTTGGCGTCGGTGCCGGCGCCTTTGACGTCCCCCGTGATGATGATGATCTCGTACTTGACGGGGACCAGTTTGCGCACTTTGCTGGCGAAGCTCTCGACAGATTTGTAGCACTCGAAGGTCAGGAACTGGTCCTTTTTGGCTGCCAGGGGGATTTGGGCATCACAGTGAAAGAAATACCTAAAACGGGAAGCGATAAACTCGTTAACGTGACATTTCTTTTGATGAGATGATGTAAAGCTTCCACTCACTTATTTCCCAGCTCCATCTCCATCACCACCACCTCCATAACGTGCCAGAAGATTTCCTTCTTCACCTTCTTTCCGTCTTTTGTTACATGACCAAGGCAAATGCCGGCAATTTCCCCCAAGTGTTTGGATGAGAACTCGAACGAGTCAGTGGCACCGCTGTGAAAGTTAGCAGGCAATGAATACGAGCAACATTTTTTTATGAATCTGAGATTTACTCTCTTGAGAACAGAAAGCTACAAGAGGAAGAAAGACCACATAGAAGAGGAGATTATATAAGGTGAACCAGCTCCCTTTGAAGACGTACCACAAAAACTTCTTTTTCTTATTCTCCAGAACAAACTCTTTGGACCGAGCTTTCCTTCCCTCCAACACAATCCAGGCGTTTTCTGTGGTGGAGGCATCGTCCGTGTTCGCAGTCATAGTGGTGATTTCGTATTCTGTGGCAAAGCAGAGACAGACGAAGCTGCGCTGTGATCACTTCACATCTGACAGGTCGTTCATCTTTGTTGATTACAGAGCACCAGCTTGGCGAGCACCCATGTATACTAACTGGTTTTATCACTGAGGTCGACGGAGTCGTTGTTGGCACAAGCCAGCTCCCGTATAATCTGCCTGTCGTCTTCGTTTTTGGCCAGCCAGCGGTCGCAGGGGAATCTGAATGTCTGGTCCATGGCCTCGTCTTTCACGTCGATGTACTCCAAGTGCCAGCCAGGAGCTGGGCCTGTTTACAACACAAGAAACCTCCTGCTCCTATTCTGTCTTCTGAAAATAGTATTTTTTTTTTATTTGAGGTCTATCGTGCTATTTCTCCCTCACCTTTGTTGTCGTGCCACACTCTGACCTTGGACAGCTCTCCCAGACTGAGCATGTCAGGAAATCGGAACACATCCTTCATTTTTCGCTCAAACTTGTTCCTGTTGGTGCTCTCCTTCAGAGCCAGCGTCCCGGTGTCTCCGTACTCACCGAAGAGGATCAAAAACACGTTGGCATCGGTGCCACCACCTGGACGATCACATGGATTAGTCCAACAGAGTCTGAGACAAATACAGTCTGAAATATTCATTCTTTAAATTGTTTTTGTCCATGAAATTTGAAATCTCTTAATTTAAATCTGACATCAACGCTCAACTAAACGTCACAAAGCCCACGTGCAGCACCTCCAACATCGCTGGTCTGGACCTGGATGATGTATGTTGTTTTCTCCACCATCTCCTCATCGTCCACCACCGCCGGCAGCTCACACACCTTCGTCCTCTTGGGCCCTTTGGTCTTGGAGAGCCAGTTTTCGTAAGTGAACAGGTACTCTTCCTCAGTGGTCAGGTTCCGCATGAGGATCTAAAGGTGGGGATGGATTATTCTAAAGATCCAATTTACTTTGTCACACTGCCTGATTTGAATATAACTGTGTTTTCATACTTAATACTTTACTGGTTGAAAGTTAAAATAAAACTTCCTCAGAAAAATACTTTAGTCATCTTTGTGTTACCCTGTCAAGAAACCAGTCAGGTCGACAGCCGCTGCCATCGATCCGAACTCTGATCTTCTTCAAAGGGGCGATGTCGTCAATCTCTAAAGTGAAAGTGTCTTCTTGGTCTCTCTCAAACCTAAATGTAAAAAATAAAACAAACAAGAAATACTTTGCTTGATACCTGGTTCAGTCCCACATCTTGTATCTCTACACTGATTACGTAGCGACAGTGGTAAACTAAAGAAGAGAGAAAGACAGATCTTTATTGTCATCGTACAGAGCACAATAAAATTACAGTTCAGAACACCCATTCAGAAGAAGACGGAACATAACAAACATGGGAGAACAGGTCCCCGGAAAGCGTTTGCTGCCTTGCTTCGTCCAAATTAGACATTTTATTGATTTAATATGAGCAAAACCCAAGTTATTTATGCATGCAGGCTATTAGCATGTAGTCTGAAGGGACCGCAGAATCAGAATCAGATTTATTATTGCCATTGTCAACGAACAGGATTCACAGAGTAGGACTTTGCTTCGGCATAAAAGCATAAATAATTCAGAAGTCGGTATAAACAAAAACCCCACAAAAATACAAATGTCACACAAATAGCTTGTTTTCTGAACATCTGACAGCCTTGTGACTGAAGCTTCCACTTGGATATTGTCTAATTCAGCTGAGTTCTTTGTTTACATTCAGTGTGTACCCGCATTTCAGAACTGCAAACCAATATTTCTGAAAAACTTCCCAAGCAAGCTCTTTCAAACTGCAGCATTTGAGTTCAGGACAACCACCTTAATTTTTATTAYCTTTAATAATGGGACAGAGTTGGACTAATTGTTTTCATTTTTCCTTTATTAGGATATTATTTAGATAATTATTGTTTCATGACGTCATTACTGGACTGACCTATCTCCATTTTTCGGCAGCAGCATTTCCTCTGTGCTCCCGTTGGCGCCGTACACGGTCAGAAAAATGTTGGTGTCCGTCCCTGCATACTGAGTGTCTCCTGTGACGACTGTGATTGAATAAATAACCTAAAAAAATATACAATGGACAACATTTATAAAAGTCTAACTTCATGCAGCACAGTGATGGAGCTGTGGCTGAAGTCACTTACTATACGGATAATGTTGATTGTGCTGGAGTCTAGCACGTTCAGCAGTCTGACAGTCAAACCATCTCCCCTGTCTTTAGCCAGCCAGCACTTACATGGAAAGATGTACTTGATACCTTTGGTTGGCACAGCAACCGACAGCTCATCCACCAACCAGCAGCTTTCTGGTGTGACACCGTTATGACCAAGCTGAGCAGAAAGCAAAAGAGAGAGAGAGAGAGAGAGAGAGAGAGAGAGACAAAAAGAGGAGACAGAGACAGAGGGGGAGGGAAAACTGGGAATTGAGACATCATTTGGTTTTGATCTGCTCGCCAAACACAGCAGCTACACTGAATTATTTCTGAGCTACAATGACGCTTATTTAAAATGTTAAACGACAGAGTTTCACAGATTCAGTCACAGACACGGTTCCAAATTCTCACTTCCACCCTCTTGATCTCTCCCACGTCAGTCCCATAGCACACAAAGTGCTCCATGCTGCCAGCGCTGAAGGATGTCTTTCCTTCTGGCAGGTCCAGCCACATACGGTCCGTCTCCACTTCACCGGGGCCCATGATGATGACATACACCCTGGCTGTGGTGCTGGCATCCCGGTCCATCCCCGTGGACAGCGTGAAATGATACGGGATGACTGCATGAAGGAGAGGATTACATTTATTAATGACCACCACTGATAGATGGAGCGGGAAATGTTTATTTAAATGATACCTAATTAGGCTGTTTTGTATGTATTTATATTAAAGCAATCAAACACAAATATATATATTATCCACCGTTTAAGTGTTTAAATGTCTGTGTTTATCAGTTTTATTGGTGTTTTAAGATCAGATCAATTAAAACTGATAAGGTTTGATAAGGAACCTTTGAAACCAGTTTAACTTAAGTTTTTCCTGTGTATTTTCTTCTTGAATCACTTTTTTATTAGACTTCGGCATCAAAACTACTTGGTTATTTTTAGGAGAAMAATCTTCCTCATTAATAACTTTGTGGTTTGGATAACAATGGGGGTGATAAAAGATTTATGGCCTATGCTCTGAAAACTCTGCAACATTAAAAGCATACATTTCATTTTTAAACCTGCTGTCCTTGGATCAAAATGACCCTTAAAGCGAGACCCCAGGGGTCATTTGTACCCAAGGACAGGAAAAGATCAACAAACAAACATGTCCTTATTTGTGAATTGATCCCTCAGTGCAGGCTTTCAGATTGAAGATGCAACTTTTTTTTAAAGGAGATATGTTTAGTTTTTTACGATGGAGTATTAGGGCCACACAACAAGATTTAAAAAAAAATTTAATTACAAAAATAAAGTCATAATTTTACGACATTAAAGTCATATGAAAATAAAGTCATAATATTATGAGAATAAAGTCGTAACATTACGAGATTAAAGTCATAATTTTATGAGAATAAAGTCATAATATTACGAGATTAAAGTCATAATATTATGAGAATAAAGTCATAATATTCTAAAATTAAAATTAGTCATAATACCATACACTTTACATGAAAAAGCATGCAGTTACCACTGCATTTAAATGAGGAATGTTGAGCAGCTTGTCAAGTTGTTCTTTAGTATTGCTTAAAATAAATATTTAATCTTTTAGCACATTAGCATCAAATTATCAGTAGCAGGAATTGGAAACTGTGCAAATGACTATATAATTAACTGAAGCCGTATTGTAATTAATGGATGCATTGGCAGATGTAATCAGCACATAGCTAATTTGGATGAAAGCATATTAATCTAAAAGTGACCCAAGTCATCGCGGACTACTTTATAAACACAGAGACATATGGCTGTACACAGGAGCTGTGAGGAAAATGAGGAATGGAAAATGAACATGTCATGTAAGATTATGACTTTTTTCTAGTAATATTACAACTTTATTCTTGTAATCTTACGACTTTATTCTCATAATATTATGGGTTTATTCTTGTAATATTACGACTTTATTCTCATAATATTATGACTTTAATCTCGTAATTTTACGACTTTATTCTCATAATATTATGACTTTAATCTCGTAATATTACAACTTTATTCTCATAATATTATGACTTCAATCTCGTAATATTACGACTTTATTCTCATAATGTTATGAATTTAATCTCGTAATAATAATAACTTAAAAAAATTGTTGTGTGGCCCTAATACTCCATCGTATGCTTTTAAATCCTTTTTCATATTTAAATCACTCACTTAGTGTCTCTATAAAGTGGAACTGCAATGCTTTGATCTAAATTCCTCCTTATTGTGACTCCACAAGACCCTCTTTCACCCTTTTCTGAGTTGTAGCTCAGACCAACCCCCTTTGAGGCTGTCTCTTTAAATCCAAACAAGAAATGCAGTTAATGTCTAAAAAATAGTATTTCGCATGATATGTCCACCTTGAAGTTTACAGTGACTTTTGCTTACTTGGACCTTCTTCGGCAACCACCACCTTTTTCTTCTTTTTCTTCTTGTTGGCATTTCGGTCCAGTCCTTGTTTGCTTTGGGCCACCTTTTTAAAATATGGATCAGTGTTCCTTTCTCCTTCATACCCCTGAACGAGACACATTATATTCACATTTCCACATGGAGGTTTTGTCTCATTTATATCGCTGCACAAAGCGAAAAGCGATGCTGTGACCGACCTTGACGAAGAACGTCCTGTCTATCTGCTTGTCCTCTTTCTTTTTCGACAGCCAGCGTTCACACAGGAACATGTAAACTTCCTCTGTGTCCACATCCTGCACCTCCACCTGGTCGAGGTACCAATCCGCACTAATCATGGAGTTGTCGTGGCGAATACGGACCTTAAACACCTGTCCCAGGTCCACAGCTTCGATCGTAAACTTGTCCACCTAAAAAAACATGAGAGTTGCACAGGTTTTAACACCTTCRAACACCTGAAACATCCATCACAGCTCTCTCCACGTACCGCTCCTCTCTCAAACTTGTTCTTGCTGTTCTCGGATTTGGCGAGTTTGCGCTCTCCCGTGTCTCCCAGGTCTCCGTAGATGGTGAGAAAAACGTTGGCATCAGTTCCCGCTCCGTACATGTCACCTGTCCGCACCGACACGGTGTACGTGTGAGCTGGTTAAAGAGAGAGAGCAAATTTGATTGAAATTATCACAAAATGTTCACAAGATGCACCTCTACAACTTAAATTCAAGATGGCCACCACAGCCAACTGGCCTAAGAAAGCACAAAAATGGCCACGAATCGGTGGGTTTTACAGAAAAGATTCGCACTGAAATCGGAGAAAAACTTACTCTCCAAAGCATCCTCCACCTCAACCTCGGTGGTCTTCAGCGTCCCGTCCCTGAGGAGTTTCTCAGTGATGATGTCAGAGGGGACCAGCTCTCTCACTGTCTCACCATCGTCCTCTGACTTGGCCAGCCAGCGCTCACATGGGAAGATGGTGGTCTCTGAACCCTGCCAGACAAATAAGCAGAGTTGTAAAGTAACTAAGTACAAATACTTTCTTACTGTACTCAAGTAGAATTTTTGGGTATCTGTACTTTACTTGAGTAATTATTTTTCAGTCTACTTTTTACTTCTACTTCTTACATTTTCACACAATTATCTGTACTTTCTAGTCCTTACATTTTAAAAAAAGGCAAGAAGTAGAAAGTTACTTTTGTTTCATTTTTGCTTGTTTTTATTCCAGCGTGTTATTGTAAAAAATAAATATTATCCATGTAAATTGTGCCTCCTAGATAGAGTGAATTTAATTATGAAACTCTGATACCGTATTAGTTTGTACACAAACAAATCATGTCACACTCCTGCAGGACATAACCATTAAAATAAAAGGACTGTACTTAAGAAGTATTTGTATTTCATGAATTATATAATTGCATTTGGCTGCAGCCCTCAGATAGATTTTCATTTTGGGGAAAATATTTGGGCAGCCTTGATACAAACTGAAACAGCTGGACTAGTGCATCTTAAATTTAACATAAATTATTTTAATACAATATAGTCATTTCTGCATTTTTTGGGGAGGTCACCGTCTAATAAATGTCCTTATGGAAAATCTAACTTCTCATTTTAAATCAATATTTTTACTTTTAATACTCAAGTACAAAAAATACCGGACACTTTAAGACTTTTACTCAAGTAATATTCCTAAAGGAGTCTTTAACTTTTACTTAAGTAAATTTTTGGTAAGATACTTGTACTTTTACTCAAGTATCACTTTGTGGTACTTTATACAACACTGCAAATAAGCCCAGCTGGGTCTTTTTCTCAGGTGTTTCACTTATTGAGACAAAATCCCAAGTATTTAGTACTTTTCCTTTCCGGAGCTGTCGCCTGATCTCTACTCGGTCAAGGTGCCATCCAGGGTTGGTGCCCTTGTTGTCGTGTCCAATCCTGATCTTCTCTATGACATCACCGATGTCCTCCAGCTGTAAGGAGACGGATGATGGTTTGCGGAGCAGCAGCAGAGGTTTAAAGAATGCTCTGCAGTCCACGCTCTGACCTCTACGATGAACATGTCCTCTGCTCCTCGCTCAAAGTAGAGCCGCCGCTCTCGCTCGTTGACACACAGGTGCTTCTGCTGCGTGCCCAGACCGTTTTGCCCGTACAGGACTATGAACACGTCGGCGTCTGTTCCCGCCGCGAACACGTCACTGGTGAAAATCTTTATCTCGTAAGGCACAACTGAGAAAAAAACAAACAAAAAAAAACAAAACAAAAAAGATATCTTACACGAGTTGAAAAATATAGTTTTCTAAATGATTATCACATCCTGTAGGAATTTTAAAGTTCTGCTATTTTTCTTCTTCTAAAGTACCTAACATGCTGMAAAACAATTTTTTGAAGCAGTGTTCAAAACAGTTAATATCTTACCTGCTGTGGATAACTTTTTGAACAACATTATTTTGCAGAAATAGAGTTTAAAGGGGCAATATGAAATGTTTCTCAGGCGTATATTTAAATTCTATACCATAATAAAGTAACCATGTCACCTTCAGTTGTTATTAAAATGCTGTTTTTATGTTTAAATAGAAAATAAACTTGACTTCACATCATATCTGTTTCTAAATGCCTTGAAATTAGAGAACCTCCTTCTGCTTCTGTCACACCCATTTCAGCACGGGCCGGGTGTGTGTGTGCTCTGTGATGAGGAAGCTTGGCTCGGAGATACAGCCCAGAGGAGGAGCTGATCCCAAAAGGCGGTTCTAGGCCCAACCGGTCGTTTTTGCTCCCCTGTCTGGCTGGCTCAAGACACTACAAGATTTCTCAAACATGCAAGAATGAGTCAAAGCAAGAGCCTGGGCATGTTTTTGATGAGAGGATAACATTATAACATGATATAAAACTCAAAAAAGTTGATTTTACATGATGTTGCCCCTTTAATTGTCACCCGCTGCCAAAAAGGGAAGAAGGCATTAATGGGTTTTGCTCTTATCTAGGTGTCTTTGTGTCTTAGCAAAATATCTCATGAGCTACAGGTCATAATGCCTGTATGTATTCCTTAATTAAATATCTCCAGATGAATGCCACAACTTATCACAGCTCCATCTTCTACATACCATCATTCTTCAAGGAGCCTTTGGAACATTTCACTGCAAATCTGCTCACATTTTTTGTCAAAGTAAATTGGTGTTTTTACAAGAAWAACCCCCTTTGACTCTCATCATCGGTGTGGCTGTTCACTTACATGGAGTGTAGAGTTCAGTCTGTAACTCAGCAGGATAGAGATCCCTCACAATCGCTCCATCATCCTCTCCTTTATCCAACCAGCGGCCACAGGGGAAACGTATTTTCTGTCCCTGAGAGGGGGCGTCAATCTCGACCCAATCCAAAAACCAACCAGCTGAACCTCCTGATTACAAATATCTATATTTATATGATACACCTTTACAATGTGTTGATTTCCTTTTTGTTCTGATCATTATCTGTTCTCACCTGAGTTGTCGTGTCCAATTCGAAGTTTCTCCAGGTCACCCAGGTCCACAGCCTCCACAGTGAACTCGTTGATCATCCCCTGTTCGAACTTGTTCTTATAGTTTTTACAAGCCTTTAGGTTGATGATCCCTGGAGGGACCAAATGACTTGTTTCAACTGCAGTTTAAAATTAGGACACGATCGTGACTGAATGACTGTTTTCACCTGTATCATCGTTTTCTCCAAAGAGAATGGCAAAAACGTTGGCGTCAGTCCCAGCATACTTTTTCTCTCCAGTTTTTATTTTAACAGTGTATGTCGTCGACATGGCTGAAGTTAAAACATTTAACCATTTTAACACAATCACATGAATTTTAATCTTGCCCTTTGCCTCATAGGCTTGAGCCAGATTTCTTACATTTCTGCTCCAGTCCCAGAGTGGCTCCTCCTGTGCCCTCCTCATCCTCATCCTTCCTCATAAAGGCTTCGTCAACAGGAACCAGCTCTCGTGCGATCTGACCGTCATCCTCCTCCACAGCGAGCCAGCGGTTACAGGGAAAGTAATACCTATAGACCCCGCCCCCCCACCAAAAAAAAGAAGAAGATCAGAACAGGTGAGATGTTATTTCTGAGCAACATCCTGTTTCACCTACGTTACATCCTCCTGCGTGTCCACTATCTCAACACGGTCCAGGTACCAGGTGGAGTACGGCTGAGAGTTATCATGGCGAATTCGTAGCTTCTTCAAAGGGCCTAAGTCTATAGCTGTCACAATAAAAACATCCTCCTGCAAAAACAACAAATTAAAGAGTTTGAGCATTGTATTTTTAGATCAGARTCTTTTATTGTCATTCACACACGACATCAAGATGCAATGCAGAACGAAATTTGCAGTTTAGAACATCCATCTGGAGAAACACACACACATGACAAACATGGGGGAACGGATGTCCAGGGTCTTTCGCAACTTAGTGCGCTACCTTTRCAGTTTAGAATACACACACATAGGAAGGGTGAGTTAAAAAAAGAGCTTTGATCCTGTGTTTTTATACAGAAAACACACAAMCATACGCTCAAAAAACTACTCTGCGAAAGTGCAGCCAGCTAAGGAGGGGAGGGAGGTGGGGTGTCAAAGACATATGGTAGAGGAAGGGATGCAGCGGAGTCGGTGACATCCAGGGCAGACTTCGTGCCAGAACTGATCAGAGACCTACAGAGTCCAACCAGTTGTTAACAGTCAAAGCACAGGTCACAAGAGTTCAGTTCTCTGTCTCCACCCAACGTGGCCTTCAGACTGATCCAGACGCAGATGGAGCGGGTTGGGGTGGGAGGGGAGGGATCAAGGCCTCCTTCTCACGTGTCATTCCAGAGAGGTTTTATCAGCCTGCGACCAAGGTCACAGCTGTGGGAATCCAATGATAAAACATAATTCTTTTAGGGCAAGCAGCCTTTCTTCCACTGCTTTAAGTCTGAACTGCGTCTCTGTGTTGCGAAAAATGACAATATTCCAGATTCGTTTACCTTCTCGCCTCTTCTGTATGAACTTCACCCAGATGTTGCCTTACTCCTCAYGGCACGCTGCTGGGCTGTGATTCTACCCAGAACCACATCCAGTYTGCGACTTAAATCTTCCATCGTTTGAGTTTGTGCGTTCGCAGTACGGGAAATCCTATCCAAGGTCCCCTGACAGCTTTTCACAGGCCCGGACTGCTGTCAGGATCGTTTTCATTTTCTGGTAAACCAGAACTCCTCCACAGCYGATCAGCAGGAATCCGATCACCGAATTTGTTCTTCATCCAAGAAATGCTTGGATGAAGCACAAAAGATGAAAACAGAGTGAGGATCTTTTGATGTTTTTCTCTGTTATTGTGTTTCATTTTGAATAGCACTAAATAATTTTATTCTTTTTTAATAAAAGACACCCTCATACACAGTATATGTGCTTTATTACAACAATTCTTTTGTGATAAATATGAATGCATTTTTGGAAAGATGGCAATGACACATTTTTGCAAAAAAAAAAAAAAATTCATGCTTCTGAGATGAGATATTTGCATGTTAAGTAACAGGAAGTGATGTCAAAGGGGAATGTCTGCATGTGAACAGAGCAGTTCTACATTGGCTGACAACCCAGACTGCAGAGAAAATTTTCATGTTTCTTTAGATCATTTTTGAGTCAYTTTCAGAGAGAAAMAAAGAAGACAATAAAATTGTTTCAGTAAAAAAGAAGACTAGGGATTTTTCTTTCTCAAAGAGCTCCCGTTTGACGTCATTTCCTGTTTCTTTTTGACTGAGCCAAGTCCAGAAGAAAATATGCATGTATTTAGGAAAAAAAAGGGTAAAATTAAGTGTGTTATGCCAAGTTTCCTTAATATAAAGATGTTTTCTTTGACTTTTTTATTATTTGAAGGATATGCATGTCACAGGCACTTTAAAGGGGACATATCATGCAAAATCCAAATTTAGCTGTTAAATGCATTTTCTTGAGTTTCTAGGAGAGCAGAAAAGTTGAATTTAGTTTCTCCCGGTGCTGCGAAGAAATCTTTACATTCTGTTTTGGGTCATATTTTTCAAGCAATCTGCGCCACTTTAATAGTCGTAAAACCCTCTATCAAACTTGGACGGCTCTAGAAGCTGGAGTGGGGCGGGGTGTGAAGCGCCTCGTTTGGATTTAAAGAGACAGCCTCATAACGAGTTGATCTGAGACACACCCGAGAAAAGGGGTGAAAGAAGGGCTTGTGGAGTTGCAATAAGGAGGAATTCAGACCAAAACCTTGCAGTTCCACTTCAGATTGATACCATATATAAATTTAAACGTAAAAAAGAAGGATTTAAAAGCATGATATATCGCCTTTAAAACTGTTTCATTCTGTCATGGATGATTTTTACTATTCTTGTTAGAAGATCTAATTAAGAATTTACTTGTCCTAATTAATGGAACTTGAGACTGTTTCTTCTTGACTTTCTCTTAAAAAGCTTTCTAATTAAGCTTCACTGACTCACTGACATTTGAACTGAACACAGTCTAACCTGTTGATGTTTTATTTAAACAAATTCTTGCCTCAGAACAAGGCTGACAAAGGTTACCTGCCGATGCTTTTGATTCGTAGGTCAGAAATAAACCCATAACTGTGTGTTTTCCTGCGGAGCAGCTATAAGGCAGGAATGAATAATTCACAGGTGTGGATAAAGTAATGGGTAAAAAAGTAGGACAGGTTGTGTGACACAGAGAAGTTCTCGGAGCTCCTCTCAGTCACAGCTGGCTCGCCTGCAGGAGAGCTTGTAATCTTACCAGAATACACTCCCACCCACACCTCAGTGCCACGCTCAAGTTACCTGGAAGTGCTTGAATCTTTGACTAAGTGCTGGGTGATTTTCAGCCCCTCGGGTAAATTGTGTAAAGCGGTGCTCTTCTAATGAAAAGCAATGTTGCTAAACGTTAAAATATTTTTTGTGAGGCACACGCAAAAAAGAAAGAGCTCAAGAGAATTCCTCCATACTAACTTCAAGGCTTTGTTCGACCACCCCGTCTCACCTGCCCTCGCTCAAACTTGTTAATGTTGTCAGAATTCCACAGGAGGCGCTCTCCGGTGTCTCCGTTCTCCCCATAAATATTAATAAAGACATTGGCATCCGTCCCGGCTCCCAGCATGTTACCGGTGAAGACGCACACTTCATAGGTGTTGACTGTCAAACAAAGCAAAGGGATGAATTATTAACACGTCTGGAAACTGGAGCGTGTGTCGGCCAGGAGGCTGTGTTAAATCAAACCGTGCAAATCACACCGTCAACACAAGAATAAGGTGGATTAAAATGTTACAAAATATTTTTAAAAGAAGCAAATAAGAAAGTCTCTAAAGCTGCATGTAAATGTGTGCAACACTTGACAAAAATTAGAACTATGACGGAAGCCTTTTGGAGAAACACATTAATAAAAGCTTATTTACTAATGATAACCACTTTAAACAAAATAAAGAGCACTTTGTAAAAAAATATTATTTTTTAACCACTGGAGTGTAAAAGTTTGAGCTACTGTGTGTGTGTGTTCTAGCATTTGTTATCTTGTAAGGTCCATTTTGCCAAAATGTACTACAGGGCTCAAAGTTCGGACCCCATAAGTTCAAATACTATTTATGGGTTTGTGGGTTAGGTTTAGAACTAAGGTGTGGATTAAGGGTGGTCAAGATTCTGGTGAGAAGTCAAGGTTAGGGTATAAAAAAAGAAAACTTGATGTGTGTGTGTGTGTGTGTGTGTGTGTGTGTGTGTGTGTGTGT